ATTACTTATATATTTTTTTCCTTATACTTTCTTTATGTTTTTTTGTAATTCTATACTAATTACTAATAAAAAATCATTAATGTTTGTTTTATTTTATGCACTTTTTTTGTATATTAATATCTATCATATTCATTCATTGCTTGTCTGTTTATTCATTATTTACATAATAATAATAATAATAATATTTAATTTATTTGAATATTAATAAGTCACGTTATTTGTATTAATCATTCCTTTTAAGGAAAGATTAACTCAGGATTTCCTCATATAGGTATAAATCACATGGGGGAACGGTTAGAACTCAGTTCTGGAACCGGTTCGAGGTTCTGTGTTCGGTTCAGTTCAGAACCGGTTCCCTAGTGGAACCACCCCATCCCTAAATGTGCCACAAAAATAAAGTAATTGCCAACTATTTATAAAAAGGTGGGTATCCAAATCAACTCAGAAGTTTTCTCACCTTTGTTTTAATATTTATAATAATAAAAATGATGTATGGAAAATCATATTAACAATAAATTAAAAAGTTTAGGTCTAGTTTTATTCCCCAGCTAACCCTAATGCACAGTTTTAATATTAAAAGGCAAAAGAGTAAGGGAGGTATTAATCAGTGTTTCCACCAGGAACAAATGCAAGAAAATTTTGATGATCAAGAAATAGGCAACTTCCACCGAGAGAATTTTTACATCAACCCTGATGAATCAACTATTCGTTTTTTATTAATTTATTATTATATATTTATTTAGTCAAAAAATCACGTGACATACACGAAGATCTTTCTTTAGAAGGAAAGATCTTCCAACAGAGCGGCTCCTTAACGGAGCCGCCCCATCCCTAGAAAATTTACCAAATGGTTGGAGATGTGTTGTTAAGTTAAATAATGGCAAATTATGTAATCAATTTTTTTCACTTACTGTGACTAAAGGGTCTACAACAAATACTATACATCACCTGCAGAAGATGCATGGAATTGTTAGAAAAGATATAGCAAGCAAGGTATTTTGTAAATTACTTGATATTTAAATTAATTTTTAATCCTTATATTTGTTATTTGTTTGATAATGAAACAGATTTTAGAAAATAATGAAAGTTTAATTCATAACATGATTCCACCACTTACTGATAGTCAAGGCAACTATTGCGAGCGTGTAAATTCAAATACAGCTCAGGTTGTGTCCAATAAATATATAAGATAAAGTAAATAAAAAGTCCAATATATAAATCTCCCTGTATCCACACACAGCTCAGGGTTCTCAATACTCTATACCAGGCCTCTGTATCCGCACACAGCTCAGAGCCTACTCAAAACTCTATTGTGCAATTCTCTCTACAGTACTAATAGAAGTACTGCTGGCCTAAAAATGATAAATAAAATAAAATAAAAAGAATATATACAAGAAATATTTACAACCATACCACTTGAGGCATCCCTACAAGCAGCATAGAACAATCAAATGGGGGGTTCCTAACTAATGATTAGTGGCCAGCCACAAATCATCAGAGAGGACCATGGAACAATTCACAATGGCTTTCCTGTAACTATGCAAAAATTTGTAATGAGGTAAAATGTGTTTATTTAATTATTAACAATGGGGGGGAATTATTTATCCAATTATTATTATTGTATCATGAACATGATGATTCTCACTTGGTCTAAAACCAAGCTCTTTTATACCTCTTGAGGTATCACAAATAACATGACCTTTACAATGTTTTGTCCAATAAAATATGCTTATTAATCCTATTTTCCGTATTACTAGCTTACTAATTGCTAATTACTAATCCTATGAGTCATTAATACAAATAATTTGATTTAAAATAGGTTAAAAATAGAAATGATGGAATGATATACATGTGTAACATGTCGTAAAACCGTTGCAATAAATATAGAAAGATGATTGTTAATCTACAGGAGAGAACGTACTGGGAACACAAAATTAACAGGAGGGAACACAAAAATTTAACCCATGCAATTTTGTTGAT